TAATAATAATAATAATAATAATAATAATAATAATAATAATAATAATAATATATAATAATAATAATAATAATAATAATGTATAGACAATAATAATAATAATAATAATAATAATAATAATAATAATAATAATAATAATAATAATAATAATAATAATAATAATAATAATAATAATAATAATAATAATAATAATAATAACAATAATAATAATAGCAATAATAATAATAATAATGATAATAATAATTTTGTCGCAGAATTATTGGAATATCCACCTGACGGCAATGTGACAACAATGTTTGAATTATTACAACGAGCTATTTGGTTAACAAATAACGGTGATTTTATTGGTGAACAAACAAGAAATGGTACATATAAATGGATAACATATAAGCAGGTTATTATTTTCCCCTATTGTTTAATCTTTATCAATTCCTTTATCATTTTCCCTTATTGTTCAATCTTTATCAATTCTTTTATCATTTTCCCTTATTGTTCAACCATTATCCATTCTTTTATCATCTCATAAATTATACCTACGAAATTTCGCCTATTTCGTTTAATTAATTATACTTATAAAAAATATAAATTATATTTATCAAAATAAATATCTTGACAATTTGATAATTTCATTTATATTACATAAAAAATATTCATAACCATTTTTGAATTATTTTTGCTCATTTAGCTTAAACAAAAATAAGCTAAAATAATTACAAACTAATTTTGTAACAATCAATATTTTACAGGTATATACCGCATCACATAAAGTTGGTTCTGCTTTATTAGAACTTGGTATTAATGCAGGTGAAACTAGTCGAGTTGGTATAGCTGGCTTTAATTCAGCTCGTTATATCATTGCTCAAAATGCTTTGATGAATTATTCCATTGTATTGGTACCATTATATCATAATTATAATATTGAGATTCTATGGTTAGTTATAAATTTAAAGTCATAAATTTTAAATTAAATTTGATGTCTAAAATTATAAATTAAGATTTTGAAGTTATTTTCAAAGTTATAAGTCTTAAAATGTTAATCATTTTGCATAGAATCAAATTGGCAATTAAATTTCAGTTATTACATTTTCAAGAGTTTTAAAAATTTTAGTTATTAAATTCGGAAATAATAAAGTTAATTTTTTTGTACTAAAAAATAACAAAAAAAAAAAAAAATTATTCAGCGAATATGGTTGAAGTATTTTCAGCTAATCTCAAATTATTCCAATTGATATTAATTTCATTCCTTTATTTCTTTCATTTCAATTTAAATAATAAAATGTTAATTTTGAAATTTGAATATTTTTTTTGGTTTTTGAGTTCTTTTCTTTTTTCTCTTTTTTTTTGAGTATATAAATTCGAATATTCGTTCTTTTACTTTTTCCTTTTTTGAATAATAATTCTTTTTTATTTTCTGCTAAAAATTAAAATTCAAAAAAAAATCTGTTTTTTTTTAGCACAATTATTGAACATTGCAATTTGGAATTAATTTTTTGTGATACAATTGAACGAGCCAATAAATTCATTGTTGAAATGCAACGAAAAGAATTGAAAACGTTGAAAAAAATTATCATTTTTAATGATTCAAAAGAGAAAATTGATCGAGAATTATGCAAACAATCACAAATTGAGGTATATTTATTCGAAAAAAATAATTATTCTAATAAATTAATTAATTTTAGGGAATTTTTCTTTTAAATTGAATATTTAATTTAAAAAACTTAATGGATAATTTCAGGTTTATAATTGGAATTATATATTGGAACTTGGTGATAAACATCTAAAACCGGTTACACCACCATCACCATCCAGTATTTATATCATTTGTCATACTAGTGGTACTACAGGTTATACTAGTATTTTATCATTTTTTTCTTATTATTTAAGAATAAATTTAGAAGAAATTAAAGTAGTTAATTACTGTTGTTATCATAATAAAGTAATAAGTAATATTCTTTTTAATTAATAAATAATATTTGTTAAGTAATATCCAATATTCTTATACCATGAACTGTTATCGTTGACATATGATCGGTATATCGTAAATCGAATCAAAAAAAAAAAACTTAGCTTTTACTAAAGCTATTCAAAGATTTGACTTCAAACTCTCATCAAATTATATTTCAATTAAACTTCAGGTACACCAAAAGGTGTGCAATTGTCACATCGAGCATTACTAGTTTCGATGAGTGCGGTCTATGTCCAATGTTGTTTACCACCTCATGATATTGTTTTTGATCATAATGATATATATCTATCATTCTTATCACCTGCACATATTTATGAGCAATTACTTGAGGTCAAAAAACATTTCTCCTACCCTTTCATTCTTTCTTTTTTTTTTCGCTTCATTTGTTTTCAAATTAAAAAATCTTTTTTTTTCTGTCAACAATGATTATTGAAATTTTGACATTCAATTGAAAATTTTTTTTTAAATTACAAATTACTAATGAAAGTTAAAATTATAAATGAAATTTCTAATAAATTTTTAAATATATCACTCATTAATAAGTGGAATTTTATCAATTTGATTAAAAAAAAAAATAATAAATAAATCAATCGATTTTAGGCATTTATTGTTTATATTGGTGGTCGAATTGGTATATTTGGTGGTAATCCAAAACGATTAATTCATGATATGCAATTATTACAACCAACAATTACAGCCTTAGTACCACGATTACTAAATCGTTATCATGATATTGTAATGG